ACACACACACACACACACAGAGGGAAAGTGAGAAAGCAAGCCACCAGGTCCAGGACTTGAACGGTGGTCAGCCACCATGCCACCTGCCTGATCATTCTTTCATGGCCTTGCTGCAGGAGAGAAGGGCAAAGGGAAGGTGAGAGTGACTTTCCTGATTCTGCTGTTTCCTTAAATATCAATGTGTTATGTTTTGGAATAGCATGTTCTGGATTTCAAGAGTGTCCAAAATTATAAATCAATGATGAATTGCAACATAGCATTCAAAGTCAATGTAACTGAATTTACTTGTGTATGTCATTACATTGAGTTCTATAACCCAAATCAATATAAAATCCTGGTTTTGAAAACAGCCACTCACTCTCTAAGAATAGTAGGAGTAAATTTAACTATACAGGCCAATTCTGTCATATAATAGTAAATACGATTCATAAAGGTCATTGTGACATTACTCTTCCGTGAATATATAACTTGTGAATTTGACAAGTCAAAATATGATTTGACTTTTTCTTACAGAGTAAATTTTTTATTGCAATTTTAGTTTCAAGTTCTAAACAAAACTAGAGGGTAGAAAAGATTAGAAAATAGGTTTTAAAGTACCTAGAATATTTTTAGTGCTTCCTGGGGACTTTAGTAAATTTCTGTGGTCCATCAATTTCCTGACATCCTAGACTATTTCATCTCTTTTATTTTTTTCCCTCTCTAGGCCTGAAATATCTCTTCTTGCCTCTTTTTCTGTATTTGTAATCTTGATTTCTTTTCCATTTGTAAAATGGAAAGAGCCAGAGAGTTATTTTTCAGCACAACATTCACCAGCCAACCTCCATCTGCTTCCATTTACTCCTTATTTTCTTGTAACCAGTGGAAGAAGGAAGGCCAGTACTCTTACCTACATCCAGGCTTTCCCCTCATTCATGGCCAGCACTTCTAACTTGCTAAAGTATGTAATTTCAATAACTTCTTTGTCATCCACTCTCAAATTTTCTTCCTCTACTGCATTAGTCCTAGCCAAACACAAACATAAACATACTGAAGTATGTCCAATCTTAAAAAGACAAGTAATTTATTTTAATAAAAATCCAGTACACCCTACTTCCCTTTTGTGCTCCTATCCCATTTTTCTTATCCTTTTTACAGAAAAACTCCTCAGCAGTGTTGCCTCCTATTGCTTTCTCTACTCCTTTCTTTTTATTCTTTCTTTAACCCAGGTAATCAGGTTTTCATCTGCATTATTCTATTGAAACAGATTTTTATATACTACTTAGCACATTTATTCACTTAATCATTCATTTGTGAAAAAAAATTTGAGCACCTACTATATTGCCATTATCTCCACAAACATAGTAAATAAGAACCTTAGAAACATTTTTTTTTTCTGTTTTTTCCGAGAAGGACATTTAACATTTCTAAAGAGAGCATACCTGGACAAATTATAGTACACTTTCAGCAAAACTGCAGAGAGGATCAAATCTTGCATGCCTCAACTTCCTGTTTAACAGAGTAGATGAGAAATCCAGTCACTTCAAAATAGACCCAGGATAACTTGATCCATGAATATAGGCGAATATGCAGTCCTGCCCTTGTCCCTGAAAGTCAGGTCTCCTGCCCCAGATCCCATACTGAAGAGATTTACACACCCTGACTCCCTTTACATTAGACAAAGAAGAGACTAGCAGATGGCATAATGGTTATGTTGCTGGACTCCCGCATGGCTGACCACGGTCCAAGTCCTTGACCACGGTCCAAGTGGCTTGAAACTCTCACTGGGCATGTGTGTGCCTGCTCCAAATCCCAAGAGGAGAATGGAGGAGAAAGGATTGAGGCATGGCCATCACCCCGGGTGGTCATTTCTCGCTTTCAGTCTCTTTGTCTTTCTCTGTGTCTCCCGCAAGCGCATGCACCCTATAGCAGAAATCTCTCTTAAAAAAAAAAATTAGATAACAAATCTTAATATACAAATTCCTTCCATCAACTTTACATTCATCACAGTCCCAATCTCCAAGACAGAGCTCTTAAGTGCTGAATGACTTCTTAACATTTAGTATTTTACATCATGTAACAGGGTTATTTCACTTTCCAGTTCAAGTACCTTGAATTTATTGACTACAGAATTCCTTTCTTTCTTTTACTGATGATCTATGACTTTCTTAGAAACACCTTTCTAAAAACCTTTTAAAGGCTAGTGTAGAGGAAGAAAGTGATTCAGAATTGACTTTGAGCCCTGGTATTCTGCTTCAGGAAGATAATTATTTTCTTTGTATAAAACCAACTTTGTCAGAGAATTTGTGAGGTGGAAAACAGAGGAGCACTCTGTTTTCCTTTTATTCTTCAGGGTGATGACTTTCATCCATGTGTTTAAGAAAGAAGGAAATATAGAAAGAAGAAAAAGAAAAAGAAAGGAAGGAAGGAAGGAAGGAAGGAAGGAAGGAAGGAAGGAAGGAAGGAAGGAAGAAGAAAGAGAAAGAAAGAAGAAAAATAGTGAAAAGAGAAAGAAGGAAAGAAAGAAAGAAAGAAAAAAAGAGACAGAGACAAAGAAAGGAAGAAAGAGAAAGAAAGAAAAATAAAGAAATATAGAAGAAAGAAGAAAGAAAGGAAGAAAGAGAGAAAAAGAGAAAGAGAAAGAAAGAAAGAAAGAAAGAAAGAAAGAAAGAAAGAAAGAAAGAAAGAAAGAAAGAAAGAAAGAAAGAGAAAGAAAGATTACTTACCGAACTTTTGGTACAGATAGTTTTGAATCCTAAATCTCAAAATAACCTTCTGTATAATCTACTACGGTGTTCACTTTTGTACTCTACCTTCAATACCTGCTTTGCATTTCCAGTGGTGAAAGCACAGTCAGACATATTCAGGGTTCCTAATACACACATTTTCTTAATTGTAGTCCAGAAGTCAAGTCAGCTTAACAAGAATAACCCTTTCATCCAGAAGTCTCAGAGCTAGAGCTTTGTCAGAACATTCTTTTATTTATCTATTTATTTTTAAACATCTGATCACTGTATATCATACTGCTTATAAAATTAATTTTCCCAGCATGAATACACTGCAGATTAGACTAATTAAAGATATTATTAAACATGTTATCATCAACAGATAATTTTCCATTTTTGTGTTCATGTTTATTTTTAAAGATTCCAAATTAAAACCACTTGATTAAGGCCAACTGGTTGTCTCTGTTTATTTAGAAAGAATACAGTAGAACCTGCTTTGGAGAAACACTAATGAACCTAACACATGAATGCAATAAAATGTTTCATGAGCTAGTCAAGTTCTTCTTTAACTAGAACTGTGAATATAAGAAAATAACCAATTTAAAATTACAAAGCTCTGTGTAATGTTAGAGCCTCATAGCAACAATAACAAAAAACAATAACAATAACAAAAACTCACTATTGATCTCTAGCTTGGATGGCTATAGGTAATATTATCAAAGTGGTTTTTTTTCTTATTCTAATCTTTTTCTTAACTTCCTCAAATGAACACTTGAACACTTTATGTAAAGCAATCTTTAGTAATATTTAAAACAGGTTTTCTTCTCTCCAGAGTAGTATCAGCCTTGAATCTTTTTAGCTTACCTTTAACAGTTTATGTTGGCAACAATGCAATTTCAAACAGCAGATGGTATATCAAAGATAAGGGGTGGGGGGACGAGTGATAATGCCAACTAGGATTGCAGCCCTGGGAAAACTTGCAAATTTCACCAAGGTCTATAGAGATTGAAGGTTTATGAACAATACAGAAAGGAAACGTGAACAGGAGGCAAAACCTCAATACGAAGAAGGGAAGGTTAATGTGGCAGGGGGGGTGGGGCTATCAAGGAGAAAGTAAATGCATTTGATAATTTTGTTGCTGCATAATGTGCACATCATCTGAAGAGTACAGCATGGACACAAAATTCTGTGATGAACCAGGTGGAGCCCCATCACATGTTCACCGCTGAGAATATCTTAACACTCTTAACATTCAGTAGATGCCTCCCTTCAGCATTCACAGTCAAGTCTGTACTTACTTTAGCTTTCCTTTCTTTATAGATCGTACTGGATTTGTTTTTCTGGTTTATCATGGACTTATATTAATTAAACAAACTTACTAATAAATAGATTATGTCCTATGTGTAAATAACATCTAGAACAAATGATACATGCTGTAGAGTCCACTATATTTCAGTGAAGTGCAGAATAATATATACCTCATTTGATTCCCATTTTTTATTTTGTTATTTAATCTCTACTTTTCCTCACCTGTCAATGGTATGATAATAGTACCTGCCTCAGCAATTGCTTCATTGATTACTCAATGTTATTTTTGGTATTTTAATGGGTGACTACAATTTACTCTGTGCAGATAACTCAGCAGTTATTTTAGACCCTCCTCTTGCTTTCATGATCCCAATTTCTCACCCTTTACCTTCCTAGTACAATAGATAAAACGTTAATAATAGTACCTTGTCTCGTCCCGCGAGACAGTGGAACAGGTCTCCTGAGGGAAGGAGTGAGAGACGGGACGTACGGCGCACTATCACAGCACGGAGACGACGCAGTGTCTCTTCAGGGTCGTCTCTTTATTGTAGGCAGCACGGAGACAACACAGTGTTCAGGGTCATCTGGAGCCAACACAATGACGCCACAGCTCAGGGTTGTCCAGAGACTACACAGCATTGCAGCTCAGGGTCGTCCGGAGACGACGCGGTGTCGCAACTCAGGGTCGTCCAGAGAGGACGCAGTGTCGTAGCTCAGCGTCGTCTTCTTCCTGGTCATCTGGCGATTATGGGCCAGAGAGCATGCTTATATACACATTGGTGGGTCGTGATTGGTTGAATGAAGGATAGCAAAAGGTGGGTTATGATTGGTTGCTTTGTGGACCAATCATGAGGTATCCGGATATGCAAATCTGAGGGATTCTAAGCTCACCAATTCGCTATGTGAAGTGGCCAATCAGAGTGTGGTATTAAAGGTGAGGTTTTTGAAGGGGAGCCAATTGTGGCCTTTGTAATTGTTTGCTCTCTGAGCCTAAGATGGCAATAGTAAGAGACTCATGAAAAATGGCCTCGGCAGACTCACTGGTGCACAGCCTCCACAAGAAATCATGCCCCGGGCGATG